GGAGGGAACAAGCTCGTTTTCTGCTGTTCCAGAGACTAGGACCCGAAATAATGGATTCAAACTGCAAGAAAAGAGATTCCACCTCAACATTAGGAGGAACTTCCTGACAGTAAGGGCTGTTCGACAGTGGAACACACTCCCTCGGAGAGTAGTGGAGTCTCCTTCCTTGGAGGTCTTTAAGCAGAGGCTGGATGGCCATCTGTCAGGGATGCTTTGATTGGGAGTTCCTGCATGGCAGGGGGTTGGACTGGATGGCCCTTGTGGTCTCTTTCAACTCTATGATTCTATGATTCTATGATTTTAAGTGGTCTCAAGATGGATTATTTCTGGCAGTCTGTTCAGGCCCTTAGTAATCCTATCACAAAGTAGTTAAAGACCATATCACCCCCTCCTCCAGGCTGTGTCCTTATTCTGTCCCTTTCTATCCAACTATCCAAAGGTTTTCTCAAATCCTATCAATGTTTTGTCACTCTAGACTTAAAGCCATCAGTCATTTCAGAGTCCTTCTGTCAATATCATGAGAAAGCCATCATGTCTTTGTTGCACCATGTGGGAACATCAGGTACCCCTCAACGATGTAAAACAGGATATAAATAAATATGTTTGAGACACTTTCCATCTTCCATAGAAACCTGTCTTCAGGACTGGTAATTATCACCCCCTCTAATTCCCAATTTCTCTCTATCCAATCTTTCACACCCTTCTTTCTGTTATCCTTGTGTAGTTCTTAAGGTTTCATTGGATTTGTGTGTTTGTGTACACCTTTGCATATTTCTGAATAAACTTCTTTTATTCATTGAAGCCGGAGTCTCTCTGCAGTGTGTACTGGTATATATGGGTGAAAAGATTCCTCTTAACTTACCCACCTCTTGCAGACCTCCTTTTGAGCTAATAATTCTCCCCAAATACCAAGGACACACTGAACCTGTTGGTTGGCACCCCAAGTCCCCCCACTTTTTCAGGTAAAAATAGTCAGAGAAGCTGTTTTAAGAGAGGAGTTATATGCTCCCTATAACTGGCCCCAGTCTGCATTTTGGCTGCAACATTTTGGACCCACTGAAGATTCCAAATGTATGGGTACATGCATAAATTATACTTAAATCCATCATTTTTGACATTTTTTTACAGTGTTGTTTCCCCTTCTTTTTTGATTATAGCTAAAATACTTTCCTCTCCCCAATCACTCAGTAACTACAGAGGCCATTTTCTGTTTGCATTTACCACAAGTGCTTGTTGCTAGAAAAGGGGTCTGTGAAGCATGCCATTCCTAGTCCATGCCATTGGGTGTCAGCATACTGAAATAAAAGAAAAATGAAACACAAAGCCCTCATGGCCTTCAGATTTATTAAAGCAGCAGTCTTCTAAACAAAATCGAATTTTAAACACTGGCCAAGACACAGGTGGATTATTCTATGAACAAAAGGTCTCTTTTCATTCACACAGTAATCCAGTAGAGATTTGCTGTTGAAGGAAGTGGGCAGGGAGATCTTGTCAATTTCCCATCACTTGCAAGCTCTTCTGTCATACTCAGTACTACGCTGCTGATATCCCTGCCTCAGCCCTCCACAAAAATTCTTTGGGAGGCACAATTGACTGCAGGGGGTAGGAGAAATAACAAAGATTAACTTTCCTACTCCCTTCTTCCGGGGCAAATAGAAGTCTGATGATACTCTGGATCCAATCCATTATTACTGAATGTAATAAATGGAATACAGTCAGACCTCCATATTCGCGGCCTTGAGAATCGCAGTTTTGATTATTCGCAGGATCAAGGCCTCTAGCCCAGGCATTCCTCCTTCCCGGGCTTTTCCCCTCAGGAGAAAAATTCCAGGAGCCAACTCCATGTTTTCTCTGGCAGGCCAGGCAGAAACCTGGCTGGGAAAGGGAGAAGGAGCCTCCATCCCCCCCAGGACCCTTTGCTTGTCCCATCGCTCC